CGGCTGCATGGACAATTTTGAGTGCCCCAAGAACGGCACATATAACACCTTTACTGAGCAAGCTGCATTGGGTGCCAGTTTGTTTCCGGATCCAATTCAAAGTGTTGGTTATCACCTTTAAAGCCCTACATGGCATGGATTCAGGTAACCCGAGGGACTGTCTCACCCGTCACATCAACCCATCCCACCCAGTCAGGCAGAGAGAGCATGTTGCGGACCCCGTCAGCAAGGGAACGTCGGTTGGCAGGGCCCAGGAGGAGAGCCTTCTCTGCCATTTCCCGCTCCCTTTGGAACTTTCTCCCCCCAGAGGTGCAGCAGGCCCCTACACTCCCGGCCTTCCGGAAGGTGACTGGCCCAAGGTCACCCAGCTGGCTTTGTGCCTAGGCGGGACTAGAACTCAAAGTCTCCCGGTTTTTAGCCTGATGCCTTAACCACTACACCAAACTGGCTCTCACAACTGCAATAGTAATTGCTATAGACAGTGAGTGCTTTGGCACAGAATAGTACACTTATTCACAAACTAGCATGCTGATATATAGATTGCATTGGCACAAAATCTGGCTTATTGTTCACAAGCTGGTACACTGATAGGTAGATTGCATTGGCACAAAATGTGGTTATGATCTATCACGCCAGTGCACACTATGGAATTGCTCTTGCTTGGCTCTTATCAGTATAGAGCTTCAGTAATTAGGAGATCACCAGGAGGAATCTTGCTTCAATCTCAGGCTTGTTAGGGGAATGACAAACCAGATATCTCAGTTTGATTGTAATGTTATTTTTTCTTCCTAGCAAATTCCTGATTATTAAAGCTGTTCTCGCTGCAAAGACAAGATTAGGCAAGGTGTTCAAGAGGCAGCTACTGACATGCTTGTGTACTAGTGATAAACTAGGGTTCTCTAGAATGTTGGTGTGTTATTTTGCCTAACTGGCCATTGATTCCTTGCAAGTTTCCTTAGAAGTGACTGACATGTTTGTGCAGCCACGTATAGTACAGTACATGCTATAGAAAGCATAGAACTAACACCAACTTTAAACATTTTGTCTGCTGCACTGTGATCAAAATGACAACATATGGATATGACATATTAAGATTTCCAAATATAACTGAACTTGCAATTCATATTTAAAATTAAATATTTCTCCCTCTTTTAAGACCCCCCAATTTTTTATAATGGCTCTTTAAAAGAGACCACTAAG